GAAATCCAAATAACCTCACTAATAAGCAAAAACAGGAGATATTACAACTGACACCACTGAAATACAAAAAATCATTCAAGGCTACTATGAACATCTTTATGCACATAAACTATAACACCTAGAAGAGACTGATACATTTCTGGAAAAATACAACTCTCCTAGCTCAAATCAAGAAGAATTAGATACTCTGAACAGATCAGTAACAAGCAGTGAGATTAAAATGGTAATTAAAAAATTACTGGGCTGGGCATGGTGGCTCATGCCTGTAATCCCAGGACTCTGGAAGGCTGAGGCGGGCAGATCACGAGGTCAGGAGTTCAAGACCAGCCTGACCAACATGGAGAAACCCCATCTCGACTAAAAACACAAAAAATTAGCCGGGCATGGTGGTGCATCCCTGTAATCCCAGCTACTCAGAAGGCTGAGTCAGGAGAATTGCTTGAACCCAGCAGGCAAAGGTTACAATGAACTGAAATTGTACCACTGCTCTCCAGGCTGAGTGACAGAGCGAGACTCTGTCTCAAAAGGAAAAAAAAAACTACCAACCAAAAAAGTCCAGTCCAGGACTAGACGAATTCACAGCAGAATTCTACCAGACATTCAAAGAAGAATTGGTACCAATCCTTTTGACACTGTTCCACAAGATAAAGAAGGAACCAGAAATCTTCCCTAATTCATTCTATGAAGCCAGCATCCCCCTAATACCAAAACTAGAAAAGGACACAACCAAAAAAGAAAACTACAGAGTGATATCCTTAATAAACAAACATGGATGCCAAAATCCTTAACAAAATACTAGCTAACCAAATCCAACAATATAACAAAAACATAATCTACCCCAATCAAGTGGGTTTCATACCAGGGATACAGGCATGGTTTAACATACACAAGTCAATAAATGTAATACAACACATAAACAGAATTAAAAACAAAAATCACATGGTCATCCCAATAAATGCAAAAAAAGCATTAGAAATCCAGCATCCTTTATGATTAAAACTCTCAGCGAAATCAGCATACAAAGGACATACCTTAATGTAATAAAAGCCATTTATGACAAACCCACAGCCAACAAAATACTGAATGGGGAAAAGTTGAAAGCATTCCCTCTCAGAACTGGAACAAGACAAAGATGACTACTCTCACCACTTCTTTTGAACATAGTATGGAAGTCCTATGAGCAATCAGATAAGAGAAATAAATAAAGGATATCCAAAATGGTAAAGAGGAAGTCAAATTGTCATTGTTTGCTAATGATATGATTGTTTAACTTGAAAACCCTAAAGACTCCTCTAGGAAGCACCTAGAATTGATAAAAGAATTCAGCAAAGTTTCTGGATACAAGATTAATGTACAGAAATCAGTAGCTCTTCGTTATACCAACAGCCACCAAGCAGAGAATCAAATCAAGAACTCAACTTTTTTTGCAATAGCTGCAAAATAAATAAATAAATAAATAAAATACTTAGAAATATACCTAACAGAGGAGTCAAAAGACCTCTACGAGACTACAAAACACTGCTGAAAATCATAGATGACACACAAAAAAAGGAAACACATCTCATGCTCATGGATGAATAGAATCAATATTGTAAAAATGACCATACTGCCAAAAGCAATCTGCAAATTCAATGCAATCTTCATCAGAACATTACCATCATTCTTCACAGAATTAGAAAAAAAAAATCCTAAAATTCATATGGAATCAAAAAGAGCCCACATAGCCAAAGCAAGACAGCCAAAAGAACGAATCTGGAGGCATCATACTACCTGATTTCAAACAAAACTATAAGGCCATAGTCACCAAAACAGTGTGGTACTGGTCTAAAAATAGGTAAATAGACCAATGGAACAGAATAGAGAACACAGAAATAAACTCAAATACTTACAGCAAACTGATCTGTGACAAAGCAAACAAAAACAGTAGAGAAAGGACACACTTTTCAACAAATGGTGCTGGGATAATTGGCTAGCCACATGTAGGGGAATAAAATTGGATCCTCATCTCTCACTTTATCCAATAATCAACTCAAGATGGATTAAGAACTTAAACCTAAGACCTGAAACTATAAAAATTCTAGATGATAACATTGGAAAAACCCTTCTAGACATTGGCTTATGCAAGGATTTCATGACCAAGAACCCAAAAGCAAATTCAATAAAAACAAAGATAAATAGCTGGTACCTAATTAAACTAAAGAACTTTTGCACAGCAGAAGGAACAGTCAGCAGAGTATACACACAAAACAACGGAGTGGAAGAAAATCTTCACAATCTGTACATGTGACAAAGGACTAATATCCATAATCTACAATGAACTTAGTAAGAAAAAAACAAAAAAACAAACAATTCCATCAAAAAGTCAGCTAAGGACATGAATAGACAATTCTCAAAAGATATACAAATGGCCAATAAACATATGAAAAATGCTCAACATCACTAATGATAAGGGAAATGCAAATCAAAACCACAATGCAATCCCACCTTACTCTTGCAAGAATGGCCATAATATAAAATCAAAAAAACAGTAGATGTTGGCATGGATGCAGTAAACAGGAAATACTTCTACACTGCTGGTGGGAATATAAACTAGTACAGCCACTAAGGAAAGCAGTGTGGAGATTCCTTAAAGAACTAAAAGTAGAACTACCATTTGATCCAGCCATCCCACTACTAGGTATCTACTCAGAGGAAAAAAAAGTCATTATTCGAAAATGATACTTGCATACTTGCACATGCATGTTTATAGCAGCACAATTCAAAATTGCAAATTTGTGGAACCAAACCAAATGCTCACCAGTCAACGAGTGGATAAGAAACTGTGGTGTATATAATGGAATACTATGCAGCCATAAAAAGGAATGAATTAACAGCATTTGCAGTGAGCTAGATGAGATTGGAGACTATTATTCTGAGTGAAGTAACTCAAGAATGGAAAACCAAACATCATATGTTTTCACTGATATGTGGGAGCCAAGCTATGAGGATACAAAGGCATAAGAATGATACAGTGGTCTTTGGGAAATTGGGGGGAAGAGTGGGAGGGAGGTGAGGGATAAAAGATTACAAATATGGTGCAGTGTACACTGCTCGGGTGATGGGTACACCAAAATCTCACAAATCACCACTAAAGAACTTATGTAAACAAATATGACCTGTACCCCAATAACTTATGGAAAAATTAGAAAAATGCTCAGTTGCAAATATATATAATATATAAAAATATAAACACATATACACTGAAAAAATTGAAATCAATGCAAATCAAAGCAAATACACACACACACACACACACACACACACACACACTTAAAAATTTGAAATCAATGAAAATGGAGGCACGAAATAACCAACCTCCTGGGATACAGCCCAAACACTTATGATTCAATGTACCTATCACCCTGGTGGCCAACAAAAAAATCCCTGCACACTCTGCCTAGTGGTGAGCTGCATAAATCAGGAATCCAGGCACACAGAGTCATTCATGGTTCAGCCAGGGCCAAAGACTGCTTGCATAAGGTTTTCCACATGCTGTTGTATTCTGCAGCTGAACTGCCACAGTTCCTGCATCTCCCATGAGCCTAGAAAAGGGGAACGACCCCACTAGACAGCCTGGTGTCTGCCTTCAAAGCCAGAGACCACGACCTGGCAGCTCTGGCTCTAGCATTGTTATCCCTGAGCGCGCGTGTGTGTGTATGTGTGTGTGTGTGTGTGTCTGGCTTTAGCATTGTGTTTCTACTGTGTGAGTGTATGTGCACCCACGCACATGCATCACTGAATGCCAAGGGTCCTCTGAGCATCCTTTTCTGTAGAGCCAGGTCTCAGAATGTGTAACAGTGCATGTTCAACTCCCCTTCCCCCAACAGAGATAAATATTAAGAGTCCACAGAGAAAAACATATAAGAATCTTAAAATATACAAAAATATCTTTTAGCTACTCATAAGGGAAATGAAAACAAAAACTAACCCGTTGTATAATTTTTCACATATTATCCATTTCCACCCATGACCTGTATTCTTCTGAGGAACCTGTATTATCTGCCTCAGTATCAGTAACAAGAAACACAAAGCACAAACAAGAGGGAACACACACACACACACTCAACATCTTCATCTAGAAATATCCAATATAACTGTGACAATTGTGCCTTCTTTCCTTTTGGACTTTTTTTGGTCTTCATATAATTTGTTGAACTTATATTTTGTATTATTACCACTGGCTGTTGTAATTTTTGATACTTGAAATTATTTCTTTAAAAACCTTCATTCTTTCTTAATAATCATGGCCGTTTCAGATTCTCCCATTTCATAGAACTGAAAAAAGATGAAAATGTCAGCGAGCCCCTGAAAATCTGGGAGCTTGTCCTTCCATGTCTTTAAATGCGTGAAAAGGGAGCTGTATTGCTTGCTTTTAGGTCAAAATTTCATTGGAGGAAATGTCCTCTCTGTAGGGGTCCATTCAGGGGAGACCAGCACCTGTGAGCAGGGCGGCCACATGGTTTAACCACCACTCAGTCCCAAAGGACAGAACACGTGTACCCTCCTTCCATCACGTAGGTGGGGGGAATCTGAGTGGTGCGAAAGAATCCCTGGACGCACCCTTCTCCTCCTGCTTGCCCCCTACTCTGGCCACAGAGAAACGCTTCTAGGCCAACGGACAAGGAAGGCCAGAGGGACTCTGCTAGGAGGCTCTCCCTACAATTGCCATAACTAAAAACTTAGGGATGAAAATTCAGTGGTCCAAATCTCAAGACCCCGACCAGCCCACGCGGTTCCCGACTCGGCCCTCTGGGACTCCCAGATACCCGCGGGATGCTTGAGCCGGTCGTGCTGCAGCCACCATTGCTCAAGGTCGCGCCCGTTCTGGCTGCTCACATGATGGAGGGTGGGGAAGGTCCTCTGCACTAGAAAGGCCGCGCGGGACGCAAACCCGGCCCTATCTTCCCCAGCGTCAGGGAAAGGAAAGGCAAAGAAAGGAAAGACGAAGGAAGGAGACCTACCTGGCTGAGGCCGGGCACCAGCGGGAAAAGTCCGACTACCTCTGATATGCGCGCTGGGGACGGCTGGACCCCAATGCGCCTGGTGTGGTAAATCGACTCCCGCGATGCCACGGGGTAGGCTGCCATCCCTGTCCCCATCATCAGAGTCTCCTGTTTCCCGGAGGGGGTGGGGGCTGAAGGTCAGAGGAAGGGGAGGTGTTGGGAATCCAGGTTGTGTGGGGTCGGCTCCGCCCAGGGGAGGAGTGGGACAGTCCCAGATGCTTGAAGGGGCGGAAGAGGTGGGCTCGGGAAAGTCAGGTGGGAAATCTTTCGCCTCGGCTAGTTGCTCGGTAGAATCTTTTTCCTTTAGCGTAAGGTTCTTTGTTGCTAGAGGGCAAACGATGATTGAGACAGAACAATAAAATGGAATATTTACAGTTCAATATTCGCAAAACAATTTAGACTTAAAAGAAATTTAAATATGTGTACTTTCAAACAGTAAGTTTGTATCATTTATATTGCCTGAGTTTATTAAAACCCGTAATTGCTCCTGCCCCAGGTGTGGGGGAATGAGTAAGAGAAAAGGTCTGGGAGGACCTGCCTAGCAGGTGGTCTTGGGATGGGTGAATGGGGCTGAGAGTGTGAGGATCAGTTGGTGGGGAATAAAATGTCTGGTTCCCAAGACTGGACACTGCCGGTGCCGTCACTTCCTGAATTTTGTCTGTAACTGCTAGGGGTCCAGTGCTGCTTCTGCGGCCTTCCAGGGGACGCTGCTAATTGGCGACCACGCTGCCTAGGTGGGTGACGAAATGCTATGTTCGAAAGAGTGACAGCGACTCGAAGGTTTCCCCTGCCTGCCTGATATCTTTATCTTTTGAAAAAAGGGAACACTGTTCTCTTGCAAAATAATATTCGCAGAATGAAGACACCTGCAGTGTATAAAGATAAACGAAGACAACGCCTGATTACACCACTCAGAGAAGAAGACTGTTAAACTGGGGCTTAGGTCCTAACAGCGCCTGATTTCTTAAGTGGGAGGGAGGGATGCAAATAAAGATCCTTTTAAAATAATAGTCTGGTGAACTCCCAAGGGAAGCATACAGGCTATTCGGTTGCCAAACCTTGATTGTGAAGATATTTTTGTGGACTTATTTAATTTCTATTAATAATGTAGTCTTTGATGTACTTTTATTATTATTTTTTGTTTCACAAACCCAATGTTTTAGGACTTGATGGATTTTTAAGCAATTTTTTTGAGAAAATTTTTAAGCAATTTTTTGCTCCACAAATAAAGAAATGCATCAAGTGAGAACCGAAGTCACTGCTGCCCAGGTCCACTCCCCAGTATACCCACCTTAAAAGAAATACTTTAAACAGAAATCCAAGGCATCTGCACCAACCTGTGGAGAGTACAACTGAACTTTTACCGCCTCCAACTCCTCAGAATTTCCTGCCTCCATTTTATTCCCCACCAACTGACATTCACACTCTCAGCCCCCCAACCCCATCCCAATTCCCTGCAAGACCACCTGCTGGGCAGATAGTCCCAGACCTTTTCTCTTCTACCCTTGCGGTTTGGGCAGAAGTGGGTGGGAGTTACCTGGAGGTGGGGGAGGAGAATAAATGGGCCTAGGTGAGACTGCTTTTGTCACACAGACGCCTTCAGCTAGTTAGAGGCGAGTTGGGGGAGGGGTTAGGACCCTGCCACAACTCCACGTTGTAGAAAATGGAAAGCAAAAAGAGCGTCCCTCTCCTCCCCAGGTGGAATTACCCGAAAAAGAACTGGGCTATGAATTTCAGCTGTTCCTCCCTAGATACTTCCCTGTTTTTCTCCTCCTTTAAAGTAGGAATAGCCATTGCCTCACACAGAGAATAAAGTCATAGCCTTTTTTCTGTCTACATTATCTGGACCCACACAGATTCAATAAGCAGTAATTGTGCCAGGAAAACAATGTCCACAGAGGCTAAATGGCTTTGCCAAGGTGAACTGGAGTGTTATGGGATGAATCCAAACATGCCAGGTTGCAAATCCTTTGTTCTCTTCATGCAAATAGCCAAGAAGCTCCATAAAGGATGCTCAATATCATTCATTTAGGCAAATACAAAGCAAACTCACAAGGAGATACACTTCCCACTTACTAGGATAGCTAGAATAAAAACAAAATTGAAAATAACAGTGTGATGAAGATATAGAGAAATTGAAACTCATACACTGCTGGTGGGAAAGTAAAATTATGTAGATATTATGGAAAGCCATTTGGCACTTCCACAAAAAGTTAAAACAGAATTACCACACATTCCAGCAATTCCACTGCTAAGTTTATACCCTAGATAACTGAAAACAGATATTTAAACAAAAGTTATGCATGAATGTTTGTGGCAGCATTATCCATAAAACCTAAAAGGAGAAACAACCCAAATGCCCATGAACTGGTGAATGTTTAAACGAATGTACTATATCCATACCATGAATTACTGTTTAGCATAACATGGAATGAAGCACAAATACATGATACCACATGGATTTAACCTTGAAAATATTATAATACATTAAAGAAACCAGACACAAAAATGCACATTGCATGACTCCATTTGTATGAAATGGCCAGAATAGGCAAATCTATACAGAGACAAAGTGGATTAGTAGTTGCCAGGGGCTGGGGAAGGCAGAGTAAGAAATGATTGCTAATAGAAATGGAGCTTTAATTTTAGAAAAATTCCTAAATTTGGTTGTGGCAATAGATACACAATTTTGTGAATATACTAAAAAGCAATGACTTGTATACTTTTAAGTGGTGAATTACATGGCATGTGAATTGTATGTCAATAATAAAATGTAAACCAGCACATAGATTTAATACAATTTAGGTATTTTCTTGCCAAGGCAAGAAAATAAATAAATAAATAAATAAATTCCAAATAAAATTTTCTTTTCCAAATCTTCTGCCAGAACAAAGAGAATATGGGAGCCCATTGAACTCATTTCTATAAAGTATCCTCTCAAGGTGTTCAGTTAGTGTTCAACCAGAGAAGCAGAACCAGTTACACACACACACACACTTATATATGTATATACATATGTGTGTGTGTATGTCTATATATGTGGGTATATATATGATGATGGAGTAGATTAAAAGAAATTATCTTACCCAATCAATTGTGGAGGCCGGCTAGACAGCCCAAGGTCCACAGGGCGTGAAGTTCAGGGAGGGAAGATCATAAGAAGGTGGAACTTCTCAAACATGAACTGAAGAAATTGAAACAATGTTCAGGGAAAAGGCAAAGAAATTGCAGACTTAGTCGCTACTTCATGCCAACCATGTGACTCAGCAAATCAGCAACCAGAAAGTGAGTGTGAAGATCCACAAACATACAAATATTTACAATTTTTCTTCCTTTCTGATGCTTGGAGTCTCTGCTCTCAGAGAGGCCTTGAGCCTTCTTTGAAAGAGCTTCCATCTGATTACTCCATGGCCTCCTAAGATAATCTTTCTTTTGACTTACTCAACAGAAACTGATTAGTGACTATAATTACAACTGCAAAATACCTTCACAGCAGCACCTGGATTAACATTTGATTGAATAATTGGGAGAAAGTGTGTTTATGCTGTAAAATGACTACCTCCTTCCTTTGCTCCAATTCTCATGAGATTATCCCCCTTGTAACACAGAGCAGAAATTCTTCCCAAAACTTATCTTTCACCATTTTGATAATTATTATTATACTAGGTATGGAGTGATATTTTATTGTGGTTTTAATTTGCATTTCCCAATGATGAATGATATGTTATTAAACATTTTTCAATTTATCTGTTGAACATTTGTATATTTTACTTAGATAACTGTTTATTCAGGTCCTTCACTTATTTTTTCATTAATTGTTTTCTTGCTATTGATTTGTTTCAGTTCTTTATACATTTTGAATATTAACCTCTTACCAAATGTATGGAAATATGTCATCCTATTCTGTAGGTGGTCTCTTCACTCTGTTTCTTGTTTTATTCTTTCCTGTGCAAAAGCTTTTTAATTTGATGTAATCACATTTGCCTATTTTTGCTTTACTTTCCTGTGCTATTGGAGTACTATCCAAGAAATTGCTGCCCAAAGAATGTCATGAAGGCATTCCTCTGTGTTTTCTTCTAGAGGTTTTACAATTTCAGGTCTTACTTTTAAGCCTTTAATTCACTTTGAATTGAATTGTGATTATGGTGTGAGATTTTGGTCTAATTTCATTCTTCTACATGTGGATATCAGTTTTTTCAACAACATTTATTAAAGTGATTGTTCTTTTCTCATTGTGTGTTCTTGGCTACTTTGTTAAAAATCATTTTTTAAATAAATGTGTGGATTTATTTCTGGGCTCCCTCCTCTATTTTATTGGTTTAAATTTCTGTTTTTATGCTAGTAACATGACGTTTTAAAAATTCTTTAATAAACATTTAATTGATACACAATAATTGTACATATTTTGGTACATGTGATATTTTGATACAAGTGTATGATAGGTAATGATCGAATCAGGGTAATTGGCATATCCATCACCTCAAACAGTTGTAACTTCTTTGTGTTGGAAACATTCAAATTTCTCTTTTCTTGCTATTTTGAAATATACAATACATTGTTCTCAAATATAGTCATCTTACTGTGCTATAGAACAATAGAACTTACTCCTATGTAACTGTCATTTTGTACCCACTAAGCAACGTCTACCTATTTTTCCCTATCCTGACCCTTCCCAGCCTGGTATCACTGTTCTATTCTCTCCCACATATGAGTTCTCACATATACTTTTTGACTTTCAGTACATATTTTACTTAACATAAATATCCTTCAGGCACACTGATGTTGTAATAAATGACAGCATTTCATTCTTTTTTTATGGCTAAATAACATTCCCCTGCATATATATATATACCAACATTTTCTTTATCCATTCATCTGTTGATGGACACAGGTTGACTCCATATCTTGGTTACTGTGAATAGTGCTACAATAAATATGGGAGTGCAGGTATCTCTTCAACATGCTGATTTCCTTTTCTTTTAATATATATCTAGTATATATATTGCTGAATCCCTGGATTATATAGTACATCTATTTTTAGATTTTTTCCATATATATGACTTTATTTATCTGAAAATGTTGAGTACAGGGTTATCTGGAGACAAAGTAGGTTGCTGGTTGCATCTGGGAGAAGGTGGGGAATAGATGAGTGATAGCTAAGCAGTATAGACTTTCTTTCTGAGGTGGTAGAAATATTCTAAAATTGACTGTGGTATTGCTTGCACATACATGTGAGTA